TTTTCGGTGCGAGAGCAGACTTCCACTTCAGCATTTACCTTCATTGACTCCTCAGCCACAGATGGTGCAGTTCATAATGTTCCTGAAACAATAGTCCCAGACTGCGGTGGCCATTATCCTCGCCAAGATACAAGTCATTCTCCTTTAGAATGGCCAACATTAAGACAACGTTACCTGGAAAGTTTTGCACAATTTGCAACTTCGCACGACTGTTAGGTGTAGACGAAACACCGGGAGAATTGTTAATATGACAGAATTAACCCAGCGGCTTTTTTTGTCTATATTCAGCTTTTCTGAACTAGTTCAAGTTCAGTTCATTTTACTTTTTTGGTGAAATAGTCAAATAAATACTTTTTATCACACTACGAGCTATATATATATATATATATATATATATATATATATATATATATATATATATATATATATATATATATATATATATGTATATATATATATATATATATATATATATATATGTATATATATATATATATATATATATATATAGAGCATTGGCCTTAAGCCCAGAAGGTTGTGGGTTCAATTCCCACCTCTGCACCTTCTCCATCGACTCCCACTGATGACTGCTGTCGTTGTGTCCTTGGGCAAGACACTTAACCCCACTTCGCCCAAAAGCCCCCACTGAAAGATCAAGGCTATGCTCACACTCAGAGCAGCCGTCCTCCTGTGGACTCACCACCTGCAGAGGGTCAGTGAGGGGCTGGTGCTATGAGACTTGGGTGGCATCTCTGACTGCCACCCCCCTGACCCAGAAATGGATTAAAGGGTAGAAAATGGATGGATGGATGGATATATATATATATATATATATATATATATCCTGTACACCCACAGGAGGAGAGCCTGTTGACCACAAAACAGACCAGATTTACATGGTTTTCAATGGGAGCCAAACAGAGTGGTTCCATCTCTGCTCATAAACTACAGACAGTACAGTAATGCGCTGCAGTGCTGTGTCTGTACTTTATGCTCATAAACTACAGACAGTAATGTGCTGCAGTGCTGTGTCTGTACTTTATGCTCATAAACTACAGACAGTAATGTGCTGCAGTGCTGTGTCTGTACTTTATGCTCATAAACTACAGACAGTAATGCGCTGCAGTGCTGTGTCTGTACTTTATGCTCATAAACTACAGACAGTAATGTGCTGCAGTGCTGTGTCTGTACTTTATGCTCATAAACTACAGACAGTAATGCGCTGCAGTGCTGTGTCTGTACTTTATGCTCATAAACTACAGACAGTAATGCGCCGCAGTGCTGTGTCTGTACTTTATGCTCATAAACTACAGACAGTAATGTGCTGCAGTGCGTGTGTCTGTACTTTATGCTCATAAACTACAGACAGTAATGCGCTGCAGTGCTGTGTCTGTACTTTATACTCATAAACTACAGACAGTAATGCGCCGCAGTGCTGTGTCTGTACTTTATGCTCATAAACTACAGACAGTAATGCGCTGCAGTGCTGTGTCTGTACTTTATACTCATAAACTACAGACAGTAATGCGCCGCAGTGCTGTGTCTGTACTTTATACTCATAAACTACAGACAGTAATGCGCTGCAGTGCTGTGTCTGTACTTTATGCTCATAAACTACAGACAGTAATGCGCCGCAGTGCTGTGTCTGTACTTTATGCTCATAAACTACAGACAGTAATGCGCTGCAGTGCTGTGTCTGTACTTTATACTCATAAACTACAGACAGTAATGCGCTGCAGTGCTGTGTCTGTACTTTATACTCATAAACTACAGACAGTAATGCGCTGCAGTGCGTGTGTCTGTACTTTATGCTCATAAACTACAGACAGTAATGCGCTGCAGTGCGTGTGTTTATACTTTATGTCAAATGTAAACTTTGTCGCTAACTCACCCTGTGTTTTCATCACGACTCGGGCACATGTGAAAAGCACCAGCTCACAGCGCCGCACCACAACCATAGACCGTATATAATATACCACAACACAGAGTCGGGGTGCGTTCACAGACGGTGGAAACCGTAGGAATTTTTTGTTTTCGGCGGAAAAAGTGCGAGAATACAGGAGGGAGGAACTTTCTCTCGTTGCGTTTCAAAAGAGAAAACAGATTCCAACGTTCATAGTGATGTCTGCCGTTCATGACACATAAAATGAACTAATTCACGTTCAAGTTATTTTTTTTAAAATGTGTTGCGTTCAGTTCAACGTTCACGGAACAATGAACACGTTCTTATGAACTCGTTCACGCACAACACTGATATTCAGGTAAACACAGACAGTTAAGATAAAGTGAGTTATTTACAATATTTACAAGGACAAGAGAAGAAAACCAGTCACACATCGTTCAACAAACGATACACTTGTTTACATGTTTTTTGTTAGATAAGATGTGAATAAAATCTTTGATCTCGCAACAGAGAATCTTTACACGCCGTCAATACACATGGTCTCATTGTCTCCAGCCATGTGTGTGTGTGTGTGTGTGTCCTGGTCCAGGGTCTGATGTTAAGAGTCCTGTGTCCCGGTCCAGAGTCTGATGTTAAGAGTCCTGTGTCCCGGTCCAGAGTCTGATGTTAAGAGTCCTGTGTCCCGGTCCAGAGTCTGATGTTAAGAGTCCTGTGTCCCGGTCCCGGTCCAGGGTCTGATGTTAAGAGGCCTGTGTCCCGGTCCAGAGTCTGATGTTAAGAGGCCTGTGTCCCGGTCCAGGGTCTGATGTTAAGAGGCCTGTGTCCCGGTCCTGGTCCAGGGTCTGATGTTAAGGGTCCTGTGTCCCGGTCCAGAGTCTGATGTTAAGAGTCCTGTGTCCCGGTCCTGGTCCAGGGTCTGATGTTAAGGGTCCTGTGTCCCGGTCCAGGGTCTGATGTTAAGAGTCCTGGGTCCCGGTCCTGGTCCAGGGTCTGATGTTAAGAGGCCTGTGTCCCGGTCCTGGTCCAGGGTCTGATGTTAAGAGTCCTGTGTCCCGGTCCAGGGTCTGATGTTAAGAGTCCTGTGTCCCGGTCCTGGTCCAGGGTCTGATGTTAAGAGTCCTGTGTCCCGGTCCAGGGTCTGATGTTAAGAGTCCTGTGTCCCGGTCCTGGTCCAGGGTCTGATGTTAAGAGTCCTGTGTCCCGGTCCTGGTCCAGGGTCTGATGTTAAGAGGCCTGTGTCCCGGTCCTGGTCCAGGGTCTGATGTTAAGAGTCCTGTGTCCCGGTCCAGGGTCTGATGTTAAGAGTCCTGTGTCCCGGTCCTGGTCCAGGGTCTGATGTTAAGAGTCCTGTGTCCCGGTCCTGGTCCAGGGTCTGATGTTAAGAGTCCTGTGTCCCGGTCCTGGTCCAGAGTCTGATGTTAAGAGTCCTGTGTCCCGGTCCTGGTCCAGGGTCTGATGTTAAGAGGCCTGTGTCCCGGTCCAGGGTCTGATGTTAAGAGTCCTGTGTCCCGGTCCTGGTCCAGGGTCTGATGTTAAGAGGCCTGTGTCCCGGTCCAGGGTCTGATGTTAAGGGTCCTGTGTGTGTGTGTGTGTCCCGGTCCCGGTCCAGGGTCTGATGTTAAGAGTCCTGTGTCCCGGTCCAGGGTCTGATGTTAAGGGTCCTGTGTCCCGGTCCAGAGTCTGATGTTAAGAGTCCCGGTCCCGGTCCAGGGTCTGATGTTAAGGGTCCTGTGTCCCGGTCCCGGTCCAGGGTCTGATGTTAAAGTAGTACTAGAATTTAATATGCTGCTATCCAGAATATATAACTACAATATGTGTTTATAATATTTCGGGTGTTCATTTTGACATGTTCAGATGAATTATGTTTAAAAAACGGCTTTCAAGTGGCACCTTTATAAAAACGCTAGGGGGAGCCAAAATGGCGGCGATGACGTAGGGGAAGGGCATCTCACAGCAGCAGCAGCAGTCTGGTTGGAATCTGTAGGAGGTTTCACTGTCATCTGAACAAGGTATAAACATATTCATCCGTTTTGTACATAATAGTGTGCAACTCTTTTAACCTTTTAGCCTTATTTGTGAGATTCAAGCTAATTAGTGTTGGGCAAGTTAGCTAACTCTACTTGATATCATAAAACATGCTAACAAGGCTAATATTCGTGTTTACATTATGCCAGTCTCACTGTGGTTGCCTTGAATTTATTTACCACAATGTACATTGTAATATTCAAAAATGGTAATCAAAATAACTTTAATTAAATAAATATTTTACTTTTATGAACAAAAAGCTGCAGAAGTTGAAAACAGACTACATGTGATGCAATCATTGATAAAAATGCTAATTATACTGTTAATAGGTGTTAGCATTTATGGATATTACAATGTACATTGTGGTAAATAAATCTAAGGCAACCAAAGTGAGACTGGCATAAAGTAAAAACGAATATTAGCCTTGTTAGCATGTTTTATGATATCAAGTAGAGTTAGCTAACTTGCCCAACACTAATTAGCTTGAATCTCACAAATAAGGCTAAAAGGTTAAAAGAGTTGCACACTATTATGTACAAACTGATGTAAATATGTTTATAGCTTGTTCAGATGACAGTGAAACCTCCTACAGTTTCCAACCAGACTGCTGTCTGCTGCTGTGATATGCCCTCCTCCTACGTCATCGCCGCCATTTTGGCTCCCCCTAGCGTTTCTTTGCGGAAGTGAAAAAGTGCCACTTGAAAGCCGTTTTTTTAACATAATTCATCTGAACATGTCAAAATGAACACCCGAAATATTATAAACACATATTGTAGTTATATATTCTGGATAGCAGCATATTAAATTCTAGTACTACTTTAAGGGTCCTGTGTGTGTGTGTGTCCCGGTCCCGGTCCAGGGTCTGATGTTAAGAGGCCTGTGTCCCGGTCCCGGTCCAGAGTCTGATGTTAAGGGTCCTGTGTGTGTGTGTGTCCCGGTCCCGGTCCAGGGTCTGATGTTAAGAGGCCTGTGTCCCGGTCCCGGTCCAGAGTCTGATGTTAAGGGTCCTGTGTGTGTGTGTCCCGGTCCCGGTCCAGGGTCTGATGTTAAGGGTCCTGTTCTCTCGTTGCAGTGGGACCAGTTGGAGCTGGGGCTGGGCCTCCGCTGGGAGCAGCATCTTGGCAGAGTTTGGGACCCTTCACCTGGAGTTCGTGCACCTCTCGGAGCTGTCTGCAAACCCCATCTACACCGAGAAGGTCCTGCTCTTTCACCACGTCTATGTTTTATTGAGCGCTTTCACACGAGCCTGAAGCAAATGAACGAACAGAGAGCGCCCTGAGAGTTTAACGGCTGTTTATGTTTTCAACAGGTTATGAACATCAGGAAACTGCTGAACAAGATCGAGAAACCCCACGGCCTCTACCCAAACTTCCTCAGTCCCGTCAGCGGCAACTGGGTCCAACGTAAGTCAAAAAACATGTAGAATTTATAAACGTTTTGTCTCATGATGTCAGATTTTAGAACTTATGATTCTGCAAAGTACTATATCTCCGTGTATAAACCGCTTCTTCTTCTACTATATCTCCGTGTATAAACCACTTCTTCTTCTACTATATCTCCGTGTATAAACCCGGCAGACTGCAGCACCAGGATACGTCACGTCCTGTTAACGTTTGTTATTCACTGCCCTGACGTCAGATGAAACCCAAGAATAAATAAAATACAGGTATATAGAATCATCCAAATGGCTGCATCCAGAATGTGCTCAGATTAAGACACATTTGGCCAAATTTGATCCGTTTTTGACTTATTATCCACCCCTTTTTTGTAGTGTACGTTTCCACCCTCTCTCGTGAGCAGGTTTCTGTCACTTGTGATGTCACGCGTCAGGCCTTGCAGCTTCACGATCCTTTCACTCTCACACCAGGCTCATCTTTTCTCTCTGTTATGAAAACGATAATGAATTCAATTACTCCAGAAAATTGGATCTTTGTGATTTACCTGAAAGACGGTGAAAAAGCAGCTCAAAGGAGAACGCCGGGGCTGAAAAGGTGCTAATCTGGGTGATTACGGAGGCTAATTATTGTGTGGGAACATGCAGAGAAGCTAAATACTGTATATTTATCGGCGGGAAAGGGAACGGAAAGCCCTGGCGCTCTCACTTCATGGCGTTCTCTGAAGAGGACGAAACACAAAAGCCCGTTGTGACCTTGTGGAGGAGTCGGTTGCTAACACCTACACGGCCACAGAGAGAGAGAGCGAGGAAATCAAAGAATATTTTTGCAATTTGCTTTGTGGCCGTTACCGCGGGCAACGGAGACAGAGGGAGTTTGATTAGAGAAAGACAGGAGAGAAATGAGCGAGAATCTGTGAGTTTCAAAGAAGATCTGTTTTGAGCCATTTACACAACACTATAGACCCCGTGCACTAGAAAATGCTAACTTCCGGGTTTGAGACCGGATGTACGTTCGCGCATTTCCGGTTGCGTTTGTTTGCTGCTAAGGATGGACTCCAAGAAACCCAGGATTTGTAACAGAAACGATGGCTTTACTTTTCAAAAAGCGCACGGTAGTAATAGACAACACTGTTGCGTGCCCTTGTGCACTGCTTCAGGCAGATTTAACAAACTGCTCAGTTTTCACAGCTTCCCGAAAGACCCGGATTTGCGTGCTCAATGGCTGGTGAAAATCAGAAGGGAAGGCTTCACTGTTCAGACGAGCTCAAGAGTGTGTAGTCGGCATTTTGAGACTGGAGAAATCTTTGTAGCTAAGTCAGGGAAACGGTTCCTTCAGCCGAAGTCAGTTCCATGTTTATTCCACTGGAATAATTATTTGAAAAAGACCCAGCGACCCGGAGTTTGGGAGCGCCGTCCACGTGTTTCCCAGACCGCGGTCGCAGCTGCAGAGGATGATGTCAACGCCAATGTGGACATAGTGACGGACGATGAGCCCTCCTCTGGTTGTATTGAGCTGGCTCCAGACTCTACCCCCATCATTGAGGACCACGACTATGCTGCAAGTTCATTCATTGTGGTGGACCGTATGAAATATGAAAACATGACGAGGGAGATTGAGGAGCTCAGGCAGCAGCTAGAGTCGCATCATTTGACTCATAGATTTGGACTGCAGCGGTTTGCCTCATCACCTGAAGACATTCGGTACTACACAAGGTAAGAGATTATGTGCACGTGTGTTAAGAATGTATATGTATAATGTATTCTCAGATTAACAGTTAAATGTGTGGATTGATTGATATTTGTGTTATTGAGCGTGGCTAGCTCCGTTAGCTTCTCTGCAGACAGTAGTGACGTAGCCCGTTGTGACAAAGTGTACGAACTACTGTCAGAGTAATCTTATCCTAAATTACAAGCAGAGACTGTGTTGCCAAATGGCAGCGGCCATTCTTGGTTTGCGAGGTCCTTTTTAAATAATAATTGGTAGAACGTTATTAAAATTACATTCAAATCAATGGAACGTTCTACTGCTGCTGTGAGAAACTGTATCATAAATTATGATTAAATATTTGAATACATTTTAAATTTTTAATTGATAAACAAACGCGAACTTAGAATATGTTTGTGCAAAAGTCAAAGCCCTATAGGTCACTACATCATTACAACAAGATCCAAGAATTTATTTTACTTGCCATTTGCCGTAAAACCACATTATATGCTTGTTAAGGTTTTCTACTTTTAATCCATAGCCCTTAGCACATAATTATGTATGTTAAGAATATTCATTTTACTCATATTCCCATTAAATGGGCCTATAGACTCTTGTGCAGTCAAGAAAAACTAATAACATCAACTTTTTACATGCAGATTTCCATCATACGGACATTTGATGGCCTTTTGGAATCTAATCAAAGAGGCAACAAGCAGAATGGTGAGGGTCACTAGTGGTCAGAAGAACCTTTCCGACAGCACATCCACCGAGACTCCTGTGACTCGAACAACTGTAAGTTCTCCCTAAAACTTCCTTCTCTATTGCTCTTGTTGTTTGTGCAGGTGCTACCTGTTTTCCTGCTTTCTGTCTCTCTTTCAGTTTTTTAATTATTTAATCAAATTCACTCACTAAATATCCACAATTTCTACACTACATCACACTGATTATTGTAATCCCCTTAGTTTGTGTATTGTAACTTTATTGTCATCTATTAATTTATGTTTATTTTTTGTTTTCCAGAAATTACTGCCAATTGACGAGTTATTCTTGTTCCTCAATTATCTGGCTACTGGATGTACACAAAGGGACCTGAGTCATAAATTTAATATCCACAGAGCTACAGTGAGTAGGATAATTGTGACATGGTCCAACTTTTTGTACAGTTTGCTTGGATCCATCTCCATCTGGATGACAGCTGAGAAAGTGAGCGCAACCTGCCCCACAGATTTTAATGGGACTTATAGAAACACGCAAGTAATTCTGGACTGTACTGAAATGAGGTGCCAAACACCCTCCTCCCTTCTGCTCCAGAGTGAGGTGTTTTCTACGTACAAGTCACACTGTACATTCAAGGCCCTTATTGGCATGTCCCCCCCATGGAGCGTTGACATTTGTGTCAGCACTGTTTGAAGGCTCCATCAGCGACAAGGAGATTTTCCGTCACTCTGGCATTGCCTCCCTCCTAACACCAGAGATGGAGATTATGGTGGATAAAGGGTTTCTGGTTGAGGAGCTTGTGTCCGGGAAAGTCCATCGCCCAGCCTTTTTGTCCAAACAGGCTCAAATGTCTGAGGTGGATGTCCTTAGTACCCAGTCCATTGCACGTCTGAGGGTCCACGTAGAGAGGCTCATTAGGAGGGTTAAAGAGAACAAACTGTTTGACACTGTCATTCCTCTATCCATTGCAGGCAGTATCAACCAAATTTTCACTGTAGCATGTCTCCTGACAAATTATCAATACGGACCCCTGGTGAAAAAATGGATGGTTGATTAAAATGACAATTTAACAATAATACGACCCATTATTTTCATGTTTATTGTAATCAAAATGTAAATCTGTTTAATGTTAGGTATGGTGAAGTGTTCAGACTAGTTGTTTACCTTAATGTCTAATCTTTGTGTACTAATCAAATTTTTTTTTCTAGCATTGTTTTAAAAGAATAATTTTTTCTGTATTGTATGTTAATATGAATATTTGCATCCTACATTTGACAGGGCAGTGACACCCTGATATGTATGCTATTAAAGTATGTTAAATATAATTTCTTCTGACATCTATGCTTTTTGCTTTCAGAATTGCAGTGAAAGTCTTTAGCATCTTTACACAATCTATTGCTGTCTGCATATAACACACACAAAACTGTAGACAATGCTGTTATAGTAGGACCGCTGTATTTGTAAAGCAACAGCAAATCACTTCCAATTTTTATACATGTTTATTTAAAAATGAAAAGGTGAGCTCCAAACAATTACAATAAAATGTATTCATGTATAGCCCTAAATCACAGTCATCTCAGAGACTTAACAAAACCATTAAACAAGTCAGAATCAACAATATAAAAAACACATTTAGGACAGTGCTATGTATTTGTCCATGTACACATGAAAATAGAACATGTCTATCTTTCGCTTCATGGTCTCCATCACACTCTCATCTCTTTGTATTCTTTGTATGAACACATCTTCTTGAGTGGAGACAACAAAATCGCACCAACTCATTCCTGAAGTAAGCAGCTGGCCCTGAACTTGCCAATAGTAGGCATGTGTGGATTTAAGCTGCAGAGTCCCACTGATGTTTTTAAGGTAAGGTGCGTCGACATAATTTTTTATGTTGGGACATTTTATTTCTTAATAGGCCAAATTGAGGTATCTCTAAGGGGTCAAAAATGACTCCATCTGGTGATGCACCAATCCATGGTGCATCTGGGTGCACCACAAACCCACATTTGTAGTGGTTCACCCGCTTTATTCGAGTGTACTCCCAAATCGCATCCGCCTCTAACTCCAAGCCTCTCTTCATTGGGCCTGTCTGGTGAGTACCTTTTAAGATGCGTTCGGCCAGCAGCTCTTCAGAGGCCTTGCCCACAAAACATATTTCTCTGAAGCGGGATGCAGTCACCCGTGGCCTCCGTACATTATGCCAATCTATATTACAACTCTGCTCCCGTGTAGAACACTCAATTTTATGAGACATCTCTAGGCTAACCTCCAGACTTCTCATGTGCAGCTGTTGTTTCCTGGAACAGACAAATGTGCACTCTGATGGCTTCAGTCTGTAATCTTGCAGTGGTAATGGTGGAGAAGGTGGAGCATGATGGAGAGTCTGAGCTTTCTCTTTGGCTGGGTGCTGATAAGAAAGTGGACTTCCTTTCTGCACTTTGCCAAACAGTGACTCCACAAGTGGGACGTCGTCTGTTATTCCCATGCTGCAGATCATAGGTCGGTCAGCTTCAGGGAAAGTATGGTAAACTTCAGATACCCGAAGAACCGAAAGGTCAGGAAGTTCCCCATGAAGGCCTCTGTACAATTTGCTCCTGGTTGTTGACAAAGAAGAAAAAAAAAAACACAATTTAAATTTGTGTCACTTTAAAAAATAAAAATAAAAAAATAATCTAATGATACATCAAGCACTTACCGCACTCCCTCTGTGGTCTTTGTTTTGGGTTTGGCTGAGAGCACAGCCATCTTCTCAACAGGCCCAGGCTTAATCCCCTATTACAGTAGAAAATATATATGATACATAAAACATGTTTTATTTATGTTGATGTTATCATGTACATGTTGCTTGATCTGATGTGTGTCCCCTGCACTCTTATTGCGATTTGATGTATGAAATGCGGTTGAACTCACCATAACTCTAGGCTTATGCCATTGTTGTTCTCCTTCAGTGCAGCTTAACATCGGGGGGACAACTTGGAGTTTCAATTGAGAATAATGAGCAGATTGAAACAGAAGGGCAACACAGTGATTGCATAAAGCTTTTCCAGCCTTGCATGTGCATGCAAAGTGCAGCAGTTGCACAGGCTGCGAATCTGTTAGGACCACCTAAAAAGTACAAGATTTGTATTTAATGTTATGTAATCAAATAATATTCCTAGAACGTATTTTACATTAAAAAAATACATAATGATTATCCAACAAAACGCCTAGAACCTGTAACATCACAATTCATTATACACAACCATTTCATACTGCTTCTTTCTGTAATCATACTCTGAGTTTGTGAGCTTTCTCGGATTTCCTCATCGACCTGAAGCACTCTGCCCTGACCACCACCTCTCCTGAGCCCTGATCTTTATCAGATACTGCCAAAAACAAGAATTTTAGTATGGTTAGTAATAGAATAACATGTTAGTATTCATTAGTATAGGAACTGTAAACAGAAACAAAATGTATTAGGATTTATATAATATACAAATGTTATATAAATCCTAGAAGGACAGAACGTATAATGTAGCTTTAATGTAGGTTCAATGCTAAACAGACACAAATACATTGTATTAACATTGCTTAGCCTTTATATTAATAGTTAGGCCTGCATGTTCATTACACAATAAATATGTTAGCCCCTTGCTATTGAGATGCCTCACCAATATTATTTTTCAGATGTATTATTGTGGAATTGTAGCGCAGCTGGCAAAATACGACTGCATTGTTGAGGTAAAATAGGTTGAAGAGGAGGTAGAGGAAGAGGTTGGGGGGGGGGGGGGGGGGGGTGGGGGGGGGGGGGGGGGGGGGGGGGGGGGGGGGGGGGGGGGGGTGGGGGGGGGGGGGGGGGGGGGGGGGGGGGGGGGGGGGGGGGGGGGGGGGGGGGGGGGGGGGGGGGGGGGGGGGGGGGGGGGGGGGGGGGGGGGGGGGGGGGGGGGGGGGGGGGGGGGGGGGGGGGGGGGAGGGGATGAGGAGAATGGATAAGAGGAATGATAAAGGAAAAGAGGGGAAAGGATGTAGAGGAATGATGAGGTTGGAGAGGTAGAAAGAGGTGTGTAGAGAAGTAAAGGTTTATGAGGTTGATGAGGAAAGAAATAAGGTTAAGTGGAAGAATAGGTTGAGTGGTTTAAGAGGAAGATGAGAGGGTGAAGAGGATGAAAGAGTAGTAGAGTTGAATAGAAAGAAGAGGTGATGAGGTTGAAAGAGGAAAGAAAGGTTGTAGAGGTGGATAGAGAAGAGGAGATTGATGAGGAAGAATATGTTGAAGTGGTGGAAGAGAAGAAGAGGTGGTAGTAGGTAGGTTGGTGGAAGATAGAGGGTGAAGAGGTAAGAAGAGGTGGATGAGGAAGAAAGGTTGAAAAGAAACAAGAGGTTGAAGAGGAAGTTGTGGTGATGAAAGGGGATGTAGGAGAAGAGGAAGTAGAAGGTTGAAGAGGAAGAAATAGGATGAAGAGGAAGATAGGTTGGGAAGCAGGAAGAAGAGGTTGAAGAGGAAGATAGGTGAAGAGGAAAAGAGTTGGAAGAGGAAGAAGAGGTTGAGATGGAAGATAGTGAAGAGGATAAGAGAATGAAGAGTTGGAAGAGGAAGAATAGGTTGAAGAGGATGAAGAGCGATGGTTGAGGTATGAGGAAGAAAGGTTGAAGAGGAAGAAAGGTTGAAGAGGAAGATATAGTGAAGAGGATGAAGGGACGAAGAGGTTGAAGAGGAAGAAAGAGGTTGGAAGAGGGAAGAAGAGGTTGAAGATGTAAAATAGGTTGATGAGTAGAGGTTGAAGATGTTGAAGAGGAAAAGAGGTTGAGAAATGTGAAGGAGAAGAAAGTGGAGAGGGAAGATTGGTTGAATGTTGAAGAGGAAGGAAGAGGTGAAGAGGAAGAATAAAGGTTGAAGAGGTTTGAAGAGGAATAGAGTTGAAGAGGATGAAAGGTTGAAGAGGAAGAAGAATTAAGAGGAAGAAGAGGTTGAAGAATGAAGAGGAAGAAAGAGGTTGAAGAGGAAGAAGAGGTTAAGAAGGATGTAGAGGTTGAAGATTTGGAAGAGGAAGAAAGTGGAAGAATAGGTTGAAGAGAAAGAAAGAGGTTGAAGAGGAAGAAGAGGTTGAAGAGAAACAAGAGGTTGAAGAGGAACAGAAATAGGTTGAAGAGGAAAAGAGGTGAAGAAGTTGAAGAGAGTACGAGAAGAAGAAGTTGAAGAGGAAGAAGAGGATGAAGAGAAGAGAGGTTGAAGAGAAGAAGAGGTTGAAAGAAGGAAGAAGCGGTTGACGGAAGAATAGTTTTGAAATGGAAAAGAGGTTGAAAGAAGAAAGGTTGAAGAGGAGAAGAGGTTGAAGAGGAAGAAGAGGTGAAGAGGAAGAATAGGTTGAAGAGAAGAGGTTGAAGATGTTTGAAGAGGAGAAGAGGTTGAAGAAATTGAAGAGGAAGAAGAGGAAGAAATAGGTTTGAAGAGAGAAGAAGAGGTTTGAAGAGGAAGAATATGGGAGGTTTGAAGAGGAAGAAGAGGTTTGAAGAGGAAGAAATAGGTTGAAGAGAGGGAAAAAGGAAAAGAGGTTGAAGAAGTGAAGAGATGACGAGGGAAGAAGAGGTTGAAGAGAAGAATAGGATAAGAGAAAAGAGGTTGGAAGATGAAGAATAGGTTGAAGAGGATAAAGAGGTTTGAAGAGGAAGAAGAGGTTTGAAGTAGGAAGATGAGGTTTGAAGAGATGATGAGAAGAAGAGGTTTGATGATGGAAGAATAGGTTGAAGAGGATGAAGATGAAGGATGAGGTTGAAGAGGAAAAAAGGTTGAAGAGGTTGTTAGAAGAAGGGTGATGAGGAAGATAAGAGGTGAAGTGGAGGATGAGGAAGTAGATTGATAGAGGAAAAGAGGAAGGAAGAGTTGAAGAGAAGAATAGTTGAAGAGGATGTAGAGGAAGTAATGAAGGTGAAGAGGAAGAAGTGGTTGAAGAGAAAATAGGGTGATATGAGGATAAGAGGGAGATGAGTTTGAAGAGGAAGAAAAGTGAAGTGGTTGAAGAGGTTGTGGTGGGTGTTGAGGGGGAAGAGGAAGAAGAAGGTTAAAGAGGAAGAAGAGGAGGAAGATGGAGATGGATGAAGAGGAAGAAGATAGAGAAAGGAAGAGTCGGAAATGGATGAATAAAGAAAAGAACATAGTAGTTGGTGGCTGTGTGTCACTGTCACTTCCTGTTGCTCTCAGACTTGTTCCTGTCTCTTAACACAACACAATAATAAAGAAATCTTAGATTCTACACTTTCTTTCTGTTTTGTTCCTCATTATAGTTGTTATTTTACTGTACAGTTTTATATAGATGTTATTTTACTGTAGTTCAGAGCGTTATTATAATGTTATTTTACTGTGGGTTCAGAGTTTTAATATAGATGTTATTTTACTGGAGTTTCAGAAGTGTATCTTATTAGATGTTATTTTACTGTAGTTTCAGAGTTATTATAGATGATTATTTAACTGTATTCAGAGATATTATAGATGTTATTTTTACTGTAGTTCAGAGTTATATAGAGTTAATTTACTGTAGTTCAGAGTTATTAGGCCCGACTGGGGAAAGGGCCTATAGAGGATTTGCACCACCATGTGACCAACATAGCAACCGTCACTAAGAGTCGGCCATGGAGATGGCAGGTATGATAACTTTATACAGTCAGATTCAACACTCGGGCCGAGAGCGCACCTTTACTTAGACTGATGGGAAAGTTCTTTGCTTTGTATTAATTGTTGGAAAACGCTCAGAGCAAGCGACAAAGACAAAACAGTCAAACACTTTATGGATTTCCCCGTTTTTGAACTGCATTTGTCACAAATGCTAGCTTGCTAACCCATTGCTGCCGTCGTTTTTTGATATTTATTTTCCTTGATGGCGAATTAACGGAGCCGGTATATTTTAAAAAATATAGACAAGCTTTTGTCTTGCTCTGAGCGTTTACCACAAGTAAAAGACAAGCAAATCTTTCCCATCATCTAAGTAAAGGTGCGCTCTCGGCCACTGTGTTGAAATCTGACAGTATAAAGATTCATACCTGCCATCAAACTGGTCGGAGTCTTTTATGGACCCGTGTGTTCCGTCATCACCGTGTGGAGAGAATGGAACAAACTCTGAACTCTGAACTTGGAATTATTATTCATTTTCCAGTTACAATTACGGGCGACAGTGGCTCAGTTGATAGAGCACTGGTCTTTGGACTCAAGGGTCGTAGGTTCGAGCCCACCACGACCAATGCCACCTGCTCCTTCTGCTGTTGTTGTGTCCCTGAGCAAGACACGTAACCCCACATTGCCTGAAGCCCCCCGCTGAAAGACCAAGGCCGTCTAGTCCATGACAGAGAAGCCATCTTGCCGTGGACATTTTAGACTTGGGTGGCAGCTCTGATTGCCAGCCCCTCCCCCCCGACCGAGAAATGGATTAGTAAAGGGGTAGAAAATCACATGACAATAACAATTACTGCAAGTCTTTTCCATTGTGCAAAAGACTAATGGTGGCAGCATCGCCTCTCCACAGATCTGCACTGGAAATATAAAGTCACACCAGTTCTTCTTGACAACGGTAGAAATCCATTTTATTTAATACTTTTGCTCCCGTTCTCAGGGTTCAAAAGGGGACGGAGTTTGTGTTTTGGATTGTGGATAAATGAACTTTTACAGAAACATGTATATTCTCTGCGGAGAAACAGAGATCTCCGAGGCCTGGTCCCGTCCTGCAACAATTCAATCCAAGGTCCAATCATAAAGTGCCGTATAAAAGCTGTACGCTGCACGGCTGCAGTGCCTTATGGGAAAATCTATAAGGCTCTATTTTTTTTACATCCAACAATGAAACGTGGATTGAAAAGATTTATAAATAGAGCCTTCTTACCTTCGCCCTCAAAGACACCGCAACCTTCCAAAGAGCCGCTATGCTAACGGCAAACTCTCTCCTGGTAACTATGGTAACTGGGACAAGTCTTAGTTTAGAGCTAATGTCTATGTAGCAGGAAGAAAAGCCCGTCACAAAACCCCACGTCGTCTCTTTCAGCTCCGACTCCGGTCTAAATATTCTCTGATAAATGTGCCTTTTGTACAATACTGACCAAAAGTTTGGACACACCTTCTCATTCAAAGAGACTATAACAATTCGGGCGTTCTGCTCTCTCAAAATTTCATCCACTGAGCGGCGCTGTGATCAAAAAATGACACCGTTTGTTGCCCAGTTCACTTCCGGTTGATTTCATACAATGGCGAATATGGCTCACGAAAACAACAAGCGATTGACAGTGCCTGAATTGCGTGAAAGGTTGAAGCGAAAGGGTATTTGCAGTGTGGGAAAACGAAAGGAGGAATTGTTGTTGCTAGTTCAACGAGCGGATGGTGTTTATGAAGATTTAGAAGAAGATGACAGCGAGCAGAGTGAACGAAAACGGCTGTGTGTGCGAGTGACAGATGGTAACAATGAGAATGAAGTTCAGCTAAGAGGGAAGAATGTGAATTGGACGGATGATTTGCGCGATATGCCACTAGTTAGAGACGGGAATGTATTTGCATACAGAAAATGACGAAAACACTCAACCATTTAGAGAAAATGCGCCGGGCAGAGAGAACCGGAAGTTGCGAAGGCAAGTGTTACCCATAATGCAACGCAAAATTCAGTCGCTCCCCCGCCCATCGGATGGAATTTTGGGAGAGCAGAACGCCCGAATTGTAGATTGACACTGAGGGCATCAAACCTATGAATGAACTCATGTGAATTACTACTAAAAAAGAATGAACCAAGTGTAAATATGTGTTTTATTCTGGTTCTTCAAAGTAGCTCCTTTTGCTCTGATACTGCTTCACTCTTGGCATTCTCTGGATGAGCTTCAACAGGACCTGAAATGGTCTGAGTTCCCATGATGCTTAGCACTTGTTGGCCCCTTCACTCTGTGGTCCAGCCCCAATCTGGACTGGGTTCCGGTCCAAAACCATCTGGACTGCGTTCAGGTCCGGTCTCTCTCCTTATTGGTCAAACAGCCCTTTCACAGCCTGGTGCGGGTCTACAGCAATAGTCATGAACAGAACTCAGTGAAGAACTTTTGCTCTGTTCTGTAACTGTGTCTAGAAGTGGACGAGGGTAAAATGAGTCTGGAAAGTAGGTCATTTGAGTGTCAATAGGTAAGATTAAGCCTTTCTCTCTTCTCTATTCTTCACCTCTCTTTTCTGACTGTTGCACTGAGTCAAAGCAATTTCCTCGTCTGTGACTTCCTGTTACTTACGTGGCAATAAAGATGATTCTGGTTCTGGTTCTGATTCTGAAGATTAGAGTGTATTTTTCCTCTTTTAATTCAAATGTATTGATTTTGTGTGGCACTATTCTACAAAATACTTACATAAACAAGACACAATTTGACATTCATTGATTCATGTTATAGCAGACAAACTTTTGTAAACAGTTAAAATTACAGTAGATGGTCCTAAAAGAGAATTTATAAATATTATGTGTGGGATCAAAAGTATTGAGTATTTTGTCTCGGCTCCTGCAGGAGGATCAGTGAGGGCTTTGTGAATCAAAATATGCAACAAATATTTTATTTTTATTGTTAGTTTTTTTTTGAACTATCTAAGTTTGTGTTTCTGCTGCTACTGGACTCTTGAATGTCTCCGACGGGAATCAATAAAGTGTCTGTTTATCAAAACAACACACTATGTCTTTATCCAGCTAAGAACACTGGCTGTGTCACATCTAAAGCTGGAGTCGCCGTGACCTGACCCCTACCATGCCAATCCCTGCCATGCCAATCCCTGCCATGCCAATCCCTACCATGCCAATCCCTGCCATGCCAATCCCTGCCATGCCAATCCCTGCCATGCCAATCCCTACCATGCCAATCCCTGCCGTGCCAATCCCTGCCGTGCCAATCCCTGCCGTGCCAATCCCTGCCGTGCCAATCCCTGCCGTGCCAATCCCTGCCATGCTATCTCTGCATTTGTCTGTTTTGCAAAAGGCTGTTGTTTACAAATATTTCAGTTTCATTCTCCATCTGTGTCTGAGCTGAAATACAATCCACACACTCAGCCCGTTACCCCCACACCCCCCCCACACCAGCCGTTACCCCCACACCTCAGTCCGTTACCCCCACACCTCAGTCCGTTACCCCCACACCTCAGTCCGTTACCCCCACACCAGTCCGTTACCCCCACACCTCCCCCACACCCCCGTCACACTCAGCCAATTACCCCCACACCCCCCCCACACCCCCGTCACACTCAGCCAATTACCCCCCACACCCCCCCCACACCAGCCGTTACCCCCACACCTCAGTCCGTTACCCCCACACCTCAGTCCGTTACCCCCACACCTCAGTCCGTTACCCCCACACCAGTCCGTTACCCCCACACCTCAGTCCGTTCCCCCCACACCTCAGTCCGTTCCCCCCACACCTCAGTCCGTTCCCCCCACACCTCAGTCCGTTCCCCCCACACCTCAGTCCGTTACCCCCACACCTCAGTCCGTTCCCCCCACACCTCAGTCCGTTACCCCCACACCTCAGTCCGTTACCCCCACACCTCAGTCCGTTACCCCCACACCTCAGTCCGTTACCCCCACACCCCCCCCCCCCACACCAGCCCGTTACCCCCACACCTCAGTCCGTTACCCCCACACCTCAGTCCGTTACCCCCACACCTCAGTCCGTTACCCCCACACCTCAGTCCGTTACCCCCACACCTCAGTCCGTTCCCCCCCTTCTCAGTCCGTTCCCCCCCTTCTCAGCCCGTTGCCCCCCCCACCCTCGCCCCTCTCTGTCTCCTGACACCACATTACAGCTTCACTGGTGCCCAGAGGAGGCGGCGGCTGCGTCTCTGTTATTAGCGTTCCGACAGGAGCAGGTTAGCTTAGCGGGCAGTCAGGGGAGCGAGAGATCGGGCTGACGGAGGTGACGTGCCTGTAATTGTAAAACGCCGGGGTGCAGGCCTCTCCTCCACGCCAACGCCACGATCCAACACGCCAGGTCTTTGTTAATGAATGTGTATTAGCCGGGCCTTTTGTCGCGGGCTAATCACGAGCTAATCCGCTAGGCCAGACCAGACACGCGCCGTGGTTAGCCTCCTGTCAGATTCGGTGTATGGCGCGTGTCTGAAATTGTCAAGTGAAAAAGGAAAATGGAGACAAAACAAGAAAACAAATCTGTGTGGAACTGTTCGAGGGAAGTTGGATTTATAAAACAGTTTAAACACAAGGCAACTCAAAGTGATTAACAAAACAGCAGTGTTGGGCACGTTACTTTGAAAAAGTAATTAGTTATAGTTACTAGTTACTTCTCCCAAAAAGTAACTGAGTTACTAACGGAGTTACTCCACTATAAAAGTAACTAGTTACCAGTAAAAGTAACTATTGCGTTACTTTTTCGTTTTGTTCTGGAACATAATGTGCACTCGACGTGCGCATTTTTACCTTTAACCTTTAACCTTTAACCTCAGTGAGTTTAAATAGTGCCAATATTTCCATCTAGAAAAGGCTGTTTTGCTGCTGAAGTCCTGTTCACTCTTCATCTGTCTCTGTGCTGTAAGCACTAAACACCAACGCCCGCCACTGTGAATGTGGAAACACCGGTGAAGCACTGACTTCAGTCCAATCAGATGAACATATATATCTCTAGGTCAGTTGGTCCATAGAAATCAACTGGACCTAGAGAGCGGCTTATTTGTTTGGCTACAGCAGAATACGTTTTATGCCCGCATTGTTTGTTCATACAAAACGCAAAACTAGGAGTTATGGGTCTTACCTTATAGCTATACCTTATAAATGACCTGCACAGACCACTTCAGTTCAGTTGAGCGTAGATATGTAATCCTCCATTTGGAAATGAGTAAAACAAAATGCGTGTGTCCTCCATAAACTCCTCTGTTTTGCTGCAGCCGGCTGCATCCAATTTCTAAAATCAACCGTCTTACACTTCACCTCTCTTTCTTATCATTCCTATAGTAATTGAAAAATTACCGTAAGTGCATTTTAAATTATCTTAAAATGTGTTATATGTATGTTAGCCAAACCTGTTGCTGTCCTTAGCAGATAAACCAGGAAGAGCAAGGAGCTTATCGATGGAATTGTATGCAGCCGACTTCTGCGCTCACATGCGCTACTCTGAGGCTGACCTCACGGTGATACAAGCCGTGGTTGAGCGCGATTAAGACCCATATTTGTTTCAAAAACACAATTTATGAGCCATCCTCTCAACTGTAGACATGTGGATTGTAAAGGAAATATGATTTACATCAGCCAATAATTGCTGAGAGGTTTTCTCAT